ACCCCCGGTTTTCCTAACTTGGCGTCTGAGAAATCTTATCGAAGGAAGAGCGTGTCGCGTGCTTGCCAAATTTTAAATTTTTCCTACCTTTACTTGAGGACAAGCAAAGATTCAAGTTTAGGGGAGTTTGATAACGCGAAATCGTATATATATAATGACGTACATTTTTACTAATCAATGACTGGTTTCACACCGATTTCGGGTATTTCCACATTATTTGTCCAGTATTTTGCAGGTATTCAAAGTTCATGCTCAAATGGAGCAAGATGAAGAAAACAAGCAATTACATATGAAAACCAGATGAAAAACAGGCCAAAAACAGCAAATATGAATTTTGCTGATGTGACGACCGTCACAAGCTCATGACGACCGTCATACGTGTTACGACCGTCACACATCCATGACAACCGTCATGCTTTAAAAAGTGCAGAAATGTTGCACGTGCTGTGAGTGCTTTCAAATACCAAAAGGAGTGGACCACTAACTCCTACATTTTCTGAGATCAATCCCACTTCCTGAGGCAATTAACCGTTGGAAATTCCATCTATAAAAGGAACGAGCTGGTACCAGAAAAGGGAAGCCGCATTGAAGACACGAAGTGCTGCCAATTTATTTCCAGAGCAATTTTTAAGTTTCAGAATCTCTTATTGTTTACTGTTTCTTTTTTCTTTCTTTCCTTGCAATTGTTGTTTTACTTTCCAAATTCTATTATGTACGAGTAATTGGCACAAAGACTAAATCCTACCGTCATTTTGGAGGATTTCCCAAAAGCCAATCGAATTATTTACAGGTTCTCATTTTAATCGTTAATTGATTTCTATTTCCCATTATAATGCATATTTATATTTTCTGCATTGTTTACGTGTTCTTAGTTTATATTCCATGTCTGGCTAAATTTAAGTAATCGGTATGTAATAGGTATTCAGATGGGATTCGATAATAACCGGTGTATACTTTCCTTTTTCAAACTTATTTATGGCTTCAGTTTTTAAATCGATTTTTCTAATTTAAATGTTCGTCGCGATAGCGAGAACTTATTTAAAAGCAGTTTTGCCACGACAGTGGGAAATTCATAAAGGTACGAACCAACAAGCGACAGCTGAGGTTAGGCCCAGATAGTAAAAACTAAGCATTCGTTTTAAAAACAGCGACAGCGCTTTAAAAAGGATTAGAGTTTAATGGTTTTCAAAAAGTAATTTTAACCGCGAACGGGATAGCGACAGCATACGCTTCGCCTTAGAGTTGCGACTAGCGTCAACAACCATCGTGAGACAAAGGTCTTTAAACCGTCATTTTCTTCTTAAACTATTTTTGAAAACACCCAAAACACTGGTGACTGGTCGAATCCTTGAAGAACCAACATATTGCATACCGATTCACGCATTTATACCTTAAGTAACGTTTTAGTTCCCCTATAGTTTACGCACTTATTTTGCTTTTATTCCCCTAAAACATTACCAACCTAGCTAAACACAGTAACACCCGAAAATACTAGTTTGATTACGAGTCCCTATGGGATCGATATCTTTTATTACTACGCGATAGACTGTGCACTTGCAGTTAGTTCAGTTAGACATAGAAAGTCGCGATCAACATGATTGCACACACAACACATTTCATAATAATCAAAGTATTCATACTTTCAACATCATTACTACATTTATCAAGTAATGCACAAGAATCAATTAGATTCAATCCCAATTCACCATATAATTCAACGATTACACATGGAATAATCAATATATACTCAAGTAAATAATCAATAACCATCTCAATCAAATCCATATTCCAGTTAAGATTTAATTAAACAATGAATCTGTGTGATCAAACTTTCAGTACATGCATTTTCCAATTTTCAGCTTTTATACAGCATGCAATCGATTGTAGTTATGGTGCAATCGATTGCACCTTTGAAAATTTCATCATTTTAGCCACTGTTTGGTTGTGCAATCGATTGACATATTAGTGCAATCGATTGCTCAGCTAAAAATTCAGCTTCCAGCAAATTTGCTCAGTGTGCAATCGATTGTAGCCTTAGTGCAATCGATTGTAGCTTCCAGAAGAACAGAAGGTACAGTTTGGTACCCATATGCTGGAAAGTGAAGCCGAGGACTGGTAGGATAACACCCGTCAGAGATTGGAAGCGGGTGAGGGTCCCATTAATTGAACAGTGTTCCGGGCAGAGTTTCTGGAACGGTATTTTCTGGAAGATGTTCGCGGAAAAAAGGAGATTGAATTCATTGAGTTGAAGCAAAGGAACATCACCGTGGCAGAATATGCGGTTAAGCTCGAAGAACTGGTGAAGTATTATCCTCATTACAATACTGATGCAGCTATGAGTTCGAAGTGCATCAAGTTTGAGAACGGGTTGCATCCCGAGATCAAACTGGGCGTCAGATATCAGAAGATCAGGTACTTTCCTGAGTTGGTGAACATATGTAGGATCTATGATGAAGACAACAGAGTTAGAATTGCTCACTATAAGAATTTAAGTGACAGAAGAAGTAAGCAGAGGCATGCGAATACACCTTACCGTGCTCCGGCTGATAAAAGAAAGTAGAAAGATGTTGCTGGGAAGAAACCAAGTGGGGGAGGAAATCCTTCCAATCCTCTCAAGTGTTTCAAATATGGTGGCGTAAATCACCGTGCAAATGAATGCCAGAATGAGGTGAAGAAGTGTTTTAAGTGTGGGAAGCCAGGTCATGTGGTTGCAGATTGTAGGACCAACACCCCAACCTGTTACAGCTGTGGTGAGCAAGGCCATATCAGCACCCACTGTCAAAAACCGAAGAAGCCTCAGACAGGTGGGAAGGTGTTTGCATTGGTGGGAGCTCAACCTACCAGTGAGAATCGTTTGGTCAGAGGTACGTGTTACATTCATAACACTCATTTGATTGCTATTATTGATACTAGTGTGACCCATTCGTTTATTTATGTGGATTGTGTGAAGAGACTAGGGCTTGTGTCGTCTGCTTTGACTAGAGGATGGTGATTGATACTCCATCTATTGGATCGATCACTACTTATTTAGTATGTTTGAATTGTCATGTGTCGATCTTTGATAAAGATTTTGGAGTGGACTTGATTTGTCTACCGCTCAGTGAGTTGGATGTTATTTTAGGGATGAATTGGCTCGAGAGCAACTATGTTTATATTGATTGTTATAGGAAGAGGTTGTTATTCCTGACTCCTGAAGAAGAGAAAATGGCTAGTTTGACATCTACTAAGGAGTTGAGAATCTTGATAGGAGACAAAGCTAAAATAATGATTGCAAGACTTTATCTTAAATTAATTTAGTAAAACCATTAGACAATAATCAATCTATCTCTTCATCATTTAAGAATATTAAGTTGACTTGTTGATTGTAAAAATGTAAATAGATATCCATGGAGACGGATATTATGATATTTGTATCCGCCTCGTTTGATAAATATAATATTCATATATGCCCATATTTATGTGAATATCTGTTAAACAGGTAATCTGCGGGTTTTACGATGTCAATGGATATTTATAGATATTCATTGATAATATTTTTTTTAAAAGTTTTTTAAAATTTCTTTTAACTTCTTTTAAAAACACAAAAAGTTATTATCAGATAACATCCATACAATTCACACTTAATTTAACAATAAAATTTCATCGCATTAATTTTCTTCTTATTAACCAAAACATAATATCCATATATTTTATTTTTCACCAAACAAATAAAAGATATTATGACTGTGAATTATAACAGAAGAGCGGACGACCGAGGAGTATGAATTGAGACACTGATTCGATAGAAGAATGACAATATTAGTTGAAGAGCGGACGACCGAAGAGTATGAATTAAGACACTAATTCGATAGAGGAATGACAACATTAGTGATTCGATAGAAGAATGACAATATTAGTTGAAGAGCGGACGACCGAAGAGTATGAATTAAGACACTAATTCGATAGAGGAATGACAACATTAGTTAATTGAACTGTAAAATAGTTGAAGTTAGATATAAAATATTTAAGAGTTTAAATATAAAATGACTAATAGAATTTAAATGAAATATAAAAGATTTTCTTAAAAGAAAATTTATAAAAAAAAAAATTTAAAAGACTAACTTCTAAAAAAAATGAAAATATAAAATATAATAAATTAATTATAGTTAAATGATTTTTATAATTTTTTAACAAATATGGATATCTACGGATATCATTAAATTCATATTCGTATCCATTAACAAATATTAAATATCCAATTCATTTTATCCGTGAATATCCATTAATCTACTCACTCCATATCTATAACGAATTTTATCCGCAAATATGAGTACAAATTTTTTTTACATCCCTAGTTGATTGCTATACGTGTTAAGAATCATTACACACATTTACACTTGATTGGTATTTGCATATCCATTTTCTTCAAAGTCTGCATTCAAATGCTTCTTGTATGCATGTTAGAGTCTATGAAACATGGACACATAAAGAGACACCAAACTCTACAAGGACTATTTGACATTAATAATAACTTTAAAAAATAATAATTGAACGTAATCATAAATGTCGGCGTTGGTGTCCGACAAACATTGACATGGACCACTTACACGACTTTTGGGGTATCGGTCGGTGCTACATAGATTAGAGTACAATCTAAGGAAAGGCCAATCTCTCCATTCAAAAAATTTGTCAATCATTTTCATCCAAAGCAAATTCATGGCAGCAGATACAAACTATAACTAGTGTATGATGTGATGAGATCAGCGTTAGCAACGAGACATACGTGTAATATCATCATCCTCTGTACATTGTTTGCTAAAAGAATGCAATAATCGCATGTTTGTTATGTACATCCATGAGATCTTCTATCGATTTTTAATGGAAGTGAGTGACTATACTGACTGTTTCTTCTTAAGCTCATCGACGAACTTGCAACGACAGAAACTGTAATGAAGAAACTCTGATTTTCATTGGCCACCAAAAAAGTAGAGAACTGTTTAATGTCATGAAAACTTGGAGATTCACAACATTCTGTTTGTCTCAATCATCGAAGCTTTCCCCTGTTAAAAGTAAAAGAGGAGTTATGTTGTGGTATGAAACATGTGCCAGCAACACCAACATATGTGGTTATGGTATTAAACATGTGCAGGCAACACCAACATATGTGGTTATGGTATGAAACATCATGCATAACTTCTCTTGAGAGTCAAGGGAATGAAAGTCAAGATGAAAGTGATGCAGATATATGGAATGGGGTATATGAGAGAGAAAGAGATAGACCTCATTTTGTGAGCCATTTTCAGAGGGGAACCAGTGCATGAGAACACCCAGATTCATGACAGCCGGAATCAATTTAAACAAAAGTGGCGTTGTGACCTGTAAAACATCAATTTTATGGTTAAACCATAAGAACGAATTAAAGAACGGATAAACCTCTCTTTGATTGAATCTTACCAAACTCAGAGCCGTTGTCCCTAAAAGGAGAAGATACATTTTCCCCTAAAATATTGTAATCAATGGTTAGCAAGAGAGACCAAAAAAGTGAGGAAAAAATAGGAAAAAGGGAAAAATAACACAAACAAAAATCACCGAGAAAAGGAATGGTGAAGAGACCAAAGGGGATAGGATAAAAACCTCAACAAGATGAAGATTTGACGCACGACCCAGCAGAACAAAAGCAAATTCTCCAATTTGAGCAAGTGAGATACCAACCTACGTTTTCATGAAGAGAGATATTGAGCATTCAAAATATGAAAGCCGGTACAATTAATCAATATAACATAATACATATCTATTCCAACAGGCTATGTATACTTACAACAAATGCTGTCTTAAGACTATAACCAAAGGCCTTTGTAACTATAGAAACAACAGCAGTCTTGACAACCACCACCAAAATAACAGATGCAAGCAATATATCTACATGGTTCCAAAGGAACTGCACATGTATAAGCATTCCAATACTTGAGAGGAAGAGAGCTGCAAATAGGTTCCGAATTGGTTCCACCTATAGTACATGAACATAAATATATTTCGTTAATAATGAATCCATATCGCATAAAAAGAAAACAAAAGAGAGTAACTTCAGGGAAGTGTGTATCACAAGACATCAGAATATAAAAAATCATTAGGAAAACGCTTTATGCAAGAAAAAAAAGTCTGATATAAGTTGAAAGTCATCTCAACCACGAACAATACCTGGTCCAGAGTATGTTGAGCAAAGTCTGTTGTGGAAATCATAACACCTGCCATAAATGAACCCAGCTCAAGACTAAGACCAAGCTTATCACTGCACTGGAAAGTGATTTTAAAACGTTAACAAAATGTACATCATCACAAATAATTAACTCCAGTAAACACATATTAAGAAGACCCATGTTACACAAGACCATGAGTTCTAAATCACTTCTCTAAAATCCATTCGTTTTCTTACCCATGCAGATAACAAGCAGAAAGCAACGGCAGCTAGCTGATAAAGTTCATTTGTCTGGAGAATGGAATAAAAGAAATATCATGAACTGCACATATTGCTAATAAGTTGGCAGTTAATGAAATAAGATTTAGCCTAACCTGAGATGAGAGCCGCATCATTAGTTTGAGAAAGCGAGGAACAAACGACCAAGTCAGTATTGATGTAGCAGTGAGATACAAGGACAATACTAGCAACCTGAAGTTAAAAACTGTTAGAATGTAATAAAACATCTTCTAACATCTGTATTTTATTTTATTGGTAACTAGTATCTTACCATTATATTAGAGTATCTTAACTCACCAACTGTGTTCATTTTCAAATATTAGAGTATCCTAGATTATCTTTTACAACTAGTTCACATATTAATCACTATTATGATCAGTTTCTTGATTCCCATATTTATTTAGGATAATTGGTTGGTGTATCTCTATAAATAGGAATTGGTTTTTATGTTTTTATTCTTTTGTACTACGTACTAAAGTTAATTTGGTCAAAAATATCAGTGATAAAGGTAAGGTGTATCCTTAATTCTGAAAGCAAAAAAGTTGTAGAAATATATAACATTAAGGGTTCGATTGGCTTGCTTCGGCCAAACAAATATTTATTTATCATTAGCAAAAAGGAATTTATAAAATAACACAAAATTCAAGACAGGAAGTCCATATGGACAGACTTACAGTTTTCCCATTGAGATAATCCCTTGTAAAAGACCACTGTTACCACCCAGAACAGGGAGTAAAGCAAATAGTAAACCCACGGCACAATCCTAATATAAAGGTGGTAGAGGAAAGAATGAAATACAAGTTAAAATGAAAACTTTTGCGTACATTACTTCATGTTATGTTAACAAGTTTATTGTTTAAAACTCAAAAGGAAAGATACCTGAAAAATAAGAGTGCCAATTGTAACTTGAACATGAAGAGCATTGTTACTATTCCGCTCCACCAAAAACTTTATCACCTGGTAAAGAAAGGTGATAATAACTAATGAATCATTCTTGGAATATGTTGCACTATCAATAACAATACATATTGGCTTATCAAAAAAATAACAATACATATTGTAAATTTCTGGAAATGGGGTGAAGGCGTACCACTGCTGTGGATGACATTGAAAGAAAGGAACCGACAAAAACACCCTCAGACAGTTTCCCTCCACATAACTGCAAAGAATATGTCCAATAAAATTTAGTGTCAACTACAGCACGATTGTACGGAGACCACATCAGCCAAAGACAGCCCCATACCATGGCAAGAATTCCGCAAAGGAACATGAATATTACAATTTGAAACAGTCCTCCAAAAACAGCAACAGGCCCCACGGCTTTTAACTGAATGGAAAAAAATTTCAAAACAGATTATTATTATTAAAAAAAAAAAAAGGAAATGGACAGGAAAGTTTTAGCAAGTCAGGAATAGCAAACCTTTGCTAAGGAAAACTCCAGCCCCAAAGCAAAGAGAAGAAACACTACCCCAAATTGAGCGACAGTCTCAACCTGTAAAAAAGCAATAAGAAAAAAAACATTTAACATCATCGAGTGACAACATGAGAAACATTACAGCTTATATTGAACTTCAAACTTCAAAAACCCAATCGAAATATTATTCTTGATGGTTTCTTTAATTGATGAGGCAGTTAGTCATGGACTACCATAACCTATTCTATATGCAGTGTTGCTGATGTTGATCGGTTTAGCTTCAATGTAGAGGGCATCTTAGTAGTTTTCAAATGATTATTTCGTTGGATTTTGCAGTACCTACTACCTAGTCAAGATCTGTATTTTCGTATCTGTATTTTCGTTCCAATATGCCTATATCATAAATATGGAATTAGTAGTAACTAATAATAAAGAAGACTCTCTGTCCTTGTACAAGTCAAAATCATGATTTAAAAATTTTATTCAAGTCTTAGTTAGCTTTGTTTGGGGCTAACCAACCCTACAATTTATCAAGCCATTAAATGAATTACAATAGTTCTTCACATTGACAACAACCAATTGAACCCATAATACTATCAATGGTAAAAGTCCAGTTACTTGATGTATTACTTGTTAATATTACACAAATTCCTAACCTACATACACCTTAGAGATTAAAATCTTGTGAACCACTAGCAGCTAAGTGAGAAAAACTAAACTAAAACTTCTTTTAAATGGAGAACCATTTAATGGCAGTGGAAACTTGTGAAGAACATCATTACAAATGCCACTCATATGGACTGTGGAGGAATCTATATTTCGAGAGGCTACTACTAGTCAATTAAATTATAAAATATAGTCTTGAACCACTGCAGTAAGTGCAGACACACATGTTTATAGGGGAAAAATCAGATTAGGCACTCTGAAAATTGATCACAGCTTACTTCAGCTAAAATGAACTTTAGTCACTCAAAACAACATACCTGTACCATTTCACTGATGAATTTCAAACCCCCTGGTCCAATAAGGGAGCCTGCAAGAAGGTACCCCACAATAACCTACATGTATAAAAAAAGATGTAATCCAACACTCTGCATAGGTCACTTATCACTAAGGTAAACTCAAATAGATCATATCATATGACTAAAATAGAACTCAAAGACGAAAAATCAACTAGGAGACAGGTGTTGTAGGAAGGGATAGTAATAACTACAGACCGGTTGCCCCAAACAGGAAAAGACTATTCCACCGATGGCTGCAGAAACTATGATGACCACCAAATCTGATATTAGCCTACACAAATGTTAAATTACTAAATTATTAACTAAATCTGGTGGGAAAATAAAATAATGCACGGACTTCAAAAACACAAATTTCAAAAATAAAGTGCAACAAGTCAACATCTAACAAGAACATAAACTCATAGGTCTTAAATTTGATCTAAAGGAAACAATAATTGTTCAAAATCTTAAATCATCCATCGCCATACGATACCTTCCTTCTCTGTTTTATGCATACAAACCCCAGGAACAAAATAAGAAAACCATAAACCATTTACTTTCCAAATGAAGAAAAGAAAGCAAAATAGAGGGCACTGCAAATACTTGATGGTTCCCAACACTTACAATTTACACAGCATTAGAAAATTAGCTCAGAATTAAAATGCTATCCAAATTTAAAGCAGTTCATAACACAATTGACTATTGTTCAACAAGTCAACCAAGCTGATAAAGAATTCCCTGAACAGTAACTATAAAGTCAAAAATCAAAATAAATATCAACCTCAAATCCACTTGAAGCACTGGATATTTGGATTTCTTGTTTGACATCACAAAGACATTGTCCTGTCATGCAATAGCATAAATAAGTAAGAAGGTTCAAACATGAAAAGAAGTATTGAGCATCATAACTGATAAGAACCCTGAAGACTTCGGATTACTTTAAGCACACCTTTTTGTCAATCAAAGTTGTCACGTCATCAGAATCTTCACTTTCTAGAGAGAACACATCTTGAAACTGAAATGATCTTGTGCCACTGAGGAAAATAAACATCCAAAAATAATTACAGTTATGGCATACGAATAAAGTAACATCTCAGTGTCCATTGTAAATAGAAACCATGAAACTACATGTGATCATACTTTCCCTCACGCGTATCATTTCTCTTAGCTTTATCATGAGTAATTTTTGCTACAGTCTCCAATACTGCCTGCAATAGAAGACCTGAATGTCAAAACTAATCTTTTCCTACAAAAAAACTGATGGGAATGATGATGTTTACATGCAAATCCGCTGAACTAGTAAAAAATGGTAAGTGTTAGATTATCTCACAGCATGCTCAGCATATCTTAGACTAACTTTAGACTACCTTGTTTTAAGTTTTATTATTGGTTCCCTTGTTTTGATTAGGCTTAGTAGTTGTCCTGTATTACATTTGGGATTATACTTGTAGCACTAAACTTTCTCTGAACCTAAGTACTAGTATAAATATGACCATAGTGTTACTACCTTTTTTATTACATCATGATACATAATATCTATATAATAGTCTTATCGCTTTGAGTATTGCTTCACCTCTTTTCCTCTTTCCCATCTACAGCGCCAATGAAACACCAGCTAGTGTTCAATGGATTTGAAATGGATATGATCCCGGACATAAATTCATTTCATTTAACACGTATCATATAAATTTGAAATTGACAGGTATATGGTCCAAGAATCATTTATACACAATGAAACACCAGCTAGTGTTCGATGAAAATAACTACCAAAACACCACCTTTGAAAATCAGAGTATCAGACCTACCTGCTGATCAGCTACACTGTTATTGAAGCTGTTTTTGTCAGGTTCTGTTAAAGAAGGAAAGGATCGATCAGAATAGTTGTCAAACTAAATAAAACAAATATATAAGATAAATGATTCACTTTCCGAATGCTGTGATTCTCAAGTTTCATCTCACAAACAAACTCTAAAAGTTAAGCTAACAATTTAAAATAAAAGAGAAGAAAGTAATAGTTCGACCATTAAATAGTAAAAGTACAATAACTATTATAAAAAGGGAAATGTTATTGGGATAAAGGACAGATTATATCCATGCCATACTGATATGTACATCCATTGCATATTCACTTTAAAATACATAAAGTATCTCTGTTTAAAAATATAAAAGGTATTCTTCATAAGTTCTGTGTGATTGAATGTAAGGCAACGAGAGGGAAGCGTAAATTCTTGTGGATTTTCAACATCATTTTAAGATCAAACATGTCTCTCAAGTCTCAACAAGTAAAGCACATCTCTCCACTATGACTTACTGTCAATTTCTAAATTTGGAGCAATTCAGTACATCAGATCTAGATGCAATTAGTACTCCACAATCAACTAAGAGAACTATAGCACAACAGGACTCCATCATCAAAAAACAATGATGAACAAATAAATCTACCTACAAGCCAACCTCTGCTGATTATGCTCACTCACCTCTTTCATTAGTTATTTGTCAACAATTTCAACCATAAATTTTTCCAAGCCACTAAAAAGCTAATCTGAAGGTTCTTATGTACAGAATATTTTCTTCCATGCAAATACACACCCTCTCCCAATAAGTCAGAGAAAACCAAATTTTGCCCATTTAAAGTAAAGGGAACACTTTGGAGCGTAAGGCATGGGATTATAAGTTATAACCATTGACTATATTAGAGATAATGAAAAGAAATCTTCACATTTATTGTGATTGTATGTAGGCATGGCAATGAGTAGGATACTATAGTATCTATTGGGTAGAATATGGGTGGTCGTCACTTTTAGACAATAGATCTTAGCAGGCTTCAGTACTTACTGGGGATAGAGATGAGACCATCCAAGGATGGTATTGAAATTTATCATTCGTAAAATATGCAATGAACTTATGTATGTTTAAAAGAATACATGTTTGATGAATGCTAAACACGATGACACTCCTACGAATCTCAATGCCAAACTTCTAAAAACCAGTGGCAGTCACTTTAAAATTCATAGATATAGAAGACTAGCACACAGACTAAACTATCTCACAATCACTCGTTTAGATTTTTCACTACCATTAATTAGATGATGTAACAAAACTCTATTGTGTAATATATCCAAACTTATTCACATGTCTTCTAGATTTTCTCTTCTGCAATAAACTGTACATAACTAGTTTGAGATCTTGAAGAAGTTCACGCACAACTATTAAGTTGTTAAAATTTCATCTATTAATTTAAAATAATCATGTTCATAACCCTCCACTTTAACACCCTCAATTTTAAGAACTCAAATCCCATTTTCTACTCACACTTCAGCGCTACCCTTATATCGATGTCAAGGAAAAGACACCAACGCATGTGGTAATACTCAACCTCTTTTAATCCCTTAAAACTATTACAAGTGTTTTCACAAAATATTACCAGATTATGTGTTAGTGTCAGTGCTGTGTATATCCTTCATAGCCAATTTTCCATTCAATAGTCAATCCAACAAAAACCAAATACATAGATAGTACTCCATAACTTCCAAGTTTAGCTAAACCATCAAACTTAATTTTTCACTCAGTAACAATAAAAAGTCACAAACTTTACCTACCCTATCAAATTATCATCTCAAAAAACCAAACAAAAACTAAAATGCAAAATCAGAAAAACGAAAAGTAAAAATAAAAAAACCTTCAGGTGTATCATTCTCAGAAAACTCCTTCTCAAGAACACGATCGAACATCTTAGCCAAAGTACCATCATTGGATTCAGGAGCAGACGAATTAAGCATGTTACCATAAAACCTATCTCGAGTTTCCTTATCGGATCTACCGGGAGAACAAACCCTAGCACAGATCACGATGCAGATTACGCAAAACCAGAACTCAAACACACTGAAATTCTTCTTGGCCATTTGTGAGTTTGGGTTTAGGGTTAAATTGAGGAATTTGATTTTGCGATAAACATGAAGATTGTTGAAATTAAAAATTGAAGATAGTGAATGAAAATGGAAATGGTCTTTGATTTTCAGATTCTTCTGTTTTCTGCTGATGTCGCTTCGCTTCTAGTTAGTTGTTGAGGGTGTATGGTGACACTTTTTGCCTTTGAAATTATTTTGTATATATATATATTTCATTATTGAGAGAAGAAAATTACATGAGGGGCTTTTTGTAAATTTGTCAACATTTTATGTTTTATTTTTTAACTAATATTAGTTGTAATTAATTCAAATTAAAGACAAAAAAAATGTTATTTGGTTTAGTTCGATTTAAATTAATTCAAATTTTAAAAATAAAATTGAATCAAAAGACGGTTGGATTTTAAAATAAAAAATTGTTGAACCATACGTATATAGACAAAGGACAAAAATGAAATAAAAGATATAAAATGATAATATAAATAAGAAATAAAATAGAAAATATGAGATATTAGAAAAAATGAAAAGGAAATAACACATGAGATATTAAAAGGAAATAGCAAGAAAGAAGAAGAGGTCCAATAAAAATGAAATTAAAAAAAAAATTATAAAAATAAGAAAATTAAAAATTATATATATATATATATATATATATATATATATATATATATATATATATATATATATATATATATATATATATATATATATATATATATATATATATATATATATATATATATATATATATATATATATATATATATATATATATATAAAAGAGGAGATATTAGAATAGAAAAGACGCAATATAAAAAAAAAGTGTGACATTTTAAAAAACGTTATAATTAAAATGCAATTCAAATAAGAAAAATACAAATTAAAAATTTAATTTAATTGCATCATTATATTAGAAAAATACTTCAAACACATCTTAACTAAATATAATTTTTTTTATAATTTCAATTTATTTTGGTTCAATTAACTCTTTTTTATGGAGTCTGATTTTCAACACTTCTATTTATAATTCATTTTTTGACATTTAGAAAAAAATATAAATAAATTGAAAATCATGCTAAAAAGTTAATGAATTTTTTGGTACAAGTTACTTTTCCAACTTCCTAAGTTGTTTAGAAAGAAAGAAAAGTGTGCCTTTATGTTTTTTCAGTAATAACAATTTTGCTTCAAAGACACATTAAAAAAATCAAAAAAGTTTGCAAATGATAAAATAAGAGTTAAACTTTAAATATATTGAAGGTGCAATTTTAAAGAAAAAATTATTTTATTTTTTTACGTATTTTATAAAAATAATTATTAGTTTTATTAAATTAGCTTAATTGATAATTATATAAAAATATTTAATTCGGTGATATTTTAATCATTAAACTATTTAAAAATAAATAATATTTTAATTAATATTTTTTAGTTTTTACTACTAAAAAACATTTTTTATACTTTTATTTGGTTTTGTTGGTTGTGCCTCTTTCTTCTATTGGTAGGCGTTGAGTTTAGTTGGATTAGAATTACCATGATTTTTCGTTTTAATAAAATTACTAGATTTTACCCCTTCTTAATTCTTATTATAAGAAAGAAAAGAAAAAAGTAAGCAAATATTAAAACCTGTTGCTATTTTTGAAAGTTTCCTTAAATTATTTTTATTGAAAAGTGTATGTTATAAATGCATTTACTTTTTTTTTATAAGTAATAAATGCATTTATTAATATTAAAGACAAATATTTTTATAAAAAAAGTAATAACTCTTTTAAATACTCTAAATTATAAATTACTTTAAAAATATTTCTTTTTATTGAAATATTAATATTTTAAATATATTCTATGCTATTTATTACTCTCTTTCTAATTTTTTTTATTTTTCTTTTCATATAACTAATGAAGATGTATACTACAGTAAAATTATAAATAATTCTTTTATTTATACAAAATTAGTTATTATTCTTAACCTGTCTTTTTAATTTGTATAAAATATTCAAAATTAAAGTAGTAAAATGTATTTTAAAAGTTATGATTTTTTACGAAAAAAACAACAAAACTTTTTAATAGTATTTCATATTAACTAATACCTATATATAACTTTGTTAAAGAAAAGGTCATCTATAACTTTTTACTTTTTTCACATAAATCAACTTAAACTTTCAATTTGTAGTTAAAAAGTCTCAATCATGATTTAATTCACAATAGTGTAAAATTAACTACCAACTTATTAAAAGTTTTCTGTTTTTTCTCAACTATGTATTTTCAGCAATAAATTAACATAAATACAGCAAAATAAAAATTTAGACGGAAGCATTTCTCTTTTCGTTAAGATCTCCTGATTGACAAATAAAGTAAAATAAAATCTTTTTAATAATTTAAAAAACTTCAGCTTATCTGTTGTGACATTATTTTTTTCTGACAAATAGATACTAGAATTTATTTTTTTAAATAATCTATTTTTTAATTAAAATATTAAAATAACATGTTTTTTAAATTAATTATTAAAATAACATAATTTCAAAAAAAGAAAGAATGCAGCGTCATTTCTTTTGGAGCATATGCATTAATTTAAAATTCATGTATCATTTAATTTGAAATATATATATATATATATATATATATATATATATATATATATATATATATATATATATATATATATATATATATATATATATATATATATATATATATATAGATAGATAGATAGATAGATGTAACCAAATCAAATGACGTCTACACCTCATGCCCTAATTTTGAAATCCATGCGCTATCTCATGTGTCGCAACCTCCCTTTATTTTTTTTATTTTTTTTTGTATTAGGAAAATGAGATGAAAATAGGTAAATAATTGAGAAAAAATATAAATAAATAAGAAATAATTATAAATATTATTAAAATAGATAAAAGTTTACAAGAAATGAAGAAAAAAAATCAATGACAGGTCTGGTCAAAAGGTCATCTGGTTCCACATCCCAGCGCATTAGTGTGCCTCAGAGGTCTACCACAATTTTGTTGAGGTGTTTGTGGTTTTTGCGTATTGACTTGTGGAAAAGGTATTTGTTGAGAGGGTGTCGGTGTATTTGACAAATTTTCAATCATTTGTCCCCAATAGCAGGGAGTTGTTGCCAACGACTCTTCTGTAATTCAGTTCCATGCTCATGCTTTCGAAGTTGGGACGCAGTGGTTGGGTTATGTGCGGATGGTATGGTTGGCCGAATTGGTACATTGAATCATTTTAGAAATGATGCAATGGTTGTTGTAGGGTAAGGTAATCAAATAGTGGTTGGGTGTTTTGGTGGTAGGATGATTGTGTGTTCATTTTGAGGGGGCTATGGTGGGTTGGGGTGAAGTCGAAAGAGTCATCGGGGCTATAGGCAGATGTGGTGTCGGTGTGTGGATGTTGGAGTAAGGGTCAGGCTCTTGTTGTTGTGATTGGGTGGATGACATGAATGGGTTGCGGGTTTGGAAGCTTGATTGGGTGGGTATATATTATTTTTGGATGTGGTGTGGGGTTGTTTGTTGGGCAGGTGTTTGTTGTTGTGTGTATGAGGACGAAGCACGTTGGCGCAGATCTATCAAATATGTCATCTTAGACCAAATTGTTGTGTTGTAACTGATCTAAACCAAATTATATATTGATGACTTAGTATAGCGCCTTCCACGACAGGGTCCTTTAAGATGTAGCAACGTCGATTCTTCCAATATCGACACATCTCTTTAGCAAAGTCTCTCTAATCACCTACACCTCATTGTGCATCCACTCTCAATTGATGTCGATCTCCCAAACACGTCGGAGCAACTGGAATATCTTGTTGCATGCCGAATTGCAGTTTCACTCAATCATTGTGGTGCATCTCCAAGATCATCGGGGTTAGGCTGATGGTCGAGACCCAGATCGGCCTCTAGACAAACTGCATAATCAAAATACTTAATGAGAAAAATTGCAGTGTGTTAATTTAATAGCCAAATTTATAATAGTGTAAGAATAATTTATATCGTTTAACCCAATGTGGTCTAAAAGATTACGATACACGATTATTGAGTTTCTGGGACATCGTTGGTAAGTCATTCCAAGAACTGACCACCTAAAAAAATTAGATAAATAAATTTGTTACAAATAAACGTTTTATCAAAGTATACATGTTTGATATTTTAAAATAAACTTACTTGTTTGCATATGGGAATGTGTATGGATTCGAGTTGACCGGAGCGAGTATCAGCATTCTAGACCAACTCTATGCTTGAAGTCGAAAGGCGCAACCATAAAAGGTATATGTATTTTTTTTGGCATTTTTACACAAGGCACTATATAGATTGGCCAAAACAGGTGAACCCAAACTATAAGTGCATGCTTTAGGAATGTTGTGTAACAATGGCAAATACATTACAGTATTTACAGTACTTTCTGGAAATAAAAAATGTTCAAATAAGATCACAATATAACATCGAGTTTTAATTATCTTTTCATACTCGGTGGATTTGACGTCTAATGTAATACTTTTATAATATTCTCTAAGGTATTTTAAATTTATACCTTAACCCCTTGGTTGACCTGCACGTTGTGGTTAAGGTGTCTCAACACAAAGAGAGGCACCCAACAAATCTTCACAAATTTGGTTATCAATACCAACTTTATTGTTAACGGCCTTACCATTGATGCGTAGGCCCATCAACATATATACATCTTCTAATTGACGGTGCACTCACCGAATGAAAGGTGAAATGTGTGGGTCTCTGGTCTCCATTATTCTAGAAAAGCTAGAATAAATTTGGCGTCAATTGAGTATGAAGTGATGTTTATCAAATGACCGAAACCGCACGATTCAATGTATGGTTCTATGATTGGGTCGCGTGGTAGTCATGTACACGACAACAAAATCTCGTTACATCCTGACAAAAAATATAAAGAACCTTAGTTATAAGGACAAAACAACTAAGTAAGGGAAGACAAATAAAACTATCCAAAAAACTTACAAATGTTGCAATATTCTTAATTGTTCC